AATTTTAAATTATCAGATAATTTATATTTTTTCTTTATACTTTTATTAATAATATGTTTTCACCTTCTAGAATTTTATAAGTTTACTCACCTCAAAATTTTATAAATTTATTTTATTTTTTTCTTTATACTTTTTATCGATAATATGGTTTCACCTCCTAAAATTTTATGTTTGTCCCAAAATAGTAATGATTTTTTTTAAAGAAAATCCAATTTGTGACCCAAAATGATGATACTTAACCATCTAACTGAAAATAATATTGATGGCTTCTTGTGTGTTTTTCAGTAAGAATGGGTGTACCAAATTTACCTCTCCATTACTCCTCCTTTTCGAAGTGTTAATTTTTATTCATTTATTATTTTTTTCCTGAGAAAAACACTACACATTTCAGTTCATCAATATTTTCATTTATTATTTATGACTGAAAATACAAATTGTCATAAGATATTGATTTAATAATAAAGACAAAAAAACACGAATCAAACTACCTTAATGATTAAAGGACTTACTGATATCTCTTGAGGTGTTAGGTTCGAACATTACATATATAGGAATATAAACGTTTATTATCAATTGATTGAGTGTATTTGATTGGATATTATCTCATATTCATCTAGATTTATCGAATAACGATAATAAAGACAAAAATATAAAATTTTAGGTTTTGCAAACTTTAAAATATCACATCTTAATGAATTAATTTGTGTCCAGTTTAATATTGACGGGGTATTTGTTCCATTAACATTATTTTTGTTGTAAAATTCAAAAGATCGTGGTCGGAATTTATAACATTCTACATCAGTACGATACATAGTCGACCGATAAGAGTGTCACACGGAACCACCAGAGTGGCTAACCAGAATTTTTCTTAAACTTTTCCAATTAAAAACATTCAATTGTAATTACTTGTAATATCATAAACATTAACATTTATATAAATCGATTTACATTAGGAGCTCCCTAAACATCAGTTCAAAATATAATGACCATCAATTTTAAGATTAATTATGACTCAATTATACAAAATAAAGATTTCAGAATATACATGCCCTCTAAAGAACTCAAGATGTACTCTGCTCTGAAATCTAGTCTGGAGCATTACTGGTCGAAAAGATCCTCTACTGCTCCTCACCTAATTTGCGTAAGAAAACAAATTTCAAATGCTGAGCTAACTAGCCCAGTGTCACACTAACAACTAAATCATACTAAAAGTGCATCAGACAAATACTCAAGCTATCAGATTTCATGCATCAGAGTATACTCGTATACCCACACACTACTCTAGGGTAGACATCATGGTGCGGCTGAGGGTTCTGCATCTCAGAGCTCACACACCCCTCTAGTCTACCAAGGATGTGGCCCGGAAAGTCTACATCAAACTCAACATCCTCGACTAACCTACCCCTCGCGGGTGTCGGACCTCACGCCCTATTTAGTCAGTTTAAAGTGCCTCGTGCACTACCTATGGATATCAGGACTGAATCTATACATCGACATTGCTATCTTTACTAGAGTAACTCGGGTGTCTTGATTGTTTCCCAAGCATCAATCAATGCTAGTTTTATGTCACCCTAATTTATCTCATTCCTATGTGTAACTTAACATTTTTTTAATTGGTCTTACTTGTAACTTAACATTTTTTTATATTATTCTCGAGAAACTCATTTCCCCCTTAAAATCCACTAAATATTTATGCTCCAAAATGTAAAATGGTACCGATACTGGCCCTTTGGTATCGATATTGATCCCTTAGTATTGATACTTCTCTTTCGGTATCGACACTCTACTCTATTTGCAACTGATGAGAAATGAGATAGTATCGATACCTCTCAACTAGTATCGATACTTCCAATATGGGGTACCGATACTAACCAGGGTATTAATACTAATTTTTATTTGATGTTATGAAAATTTCCTTAGTATCGATACTCCTATGGGGAATATCGGTATTTTACCCTGGGTATCTATACCAAATTTGGCTTCGATGTTTTCAAAAATGCCCCAATACTGATACTTTCCCTATGAGTATCGATACTCCTTCAATAACTTAAGAAAATTTATCCCCAGGGGAAGAACAATATCGATATTGTTCTTACATTACTGATACCCCTGTTCAAAATGGCCTTAGTTAGGCTCAAATCCTATTCTCAAACTCACCCATATTACTTTGAGGTTCCCAACTATTATTAATGTTTTATGTGATCAATAAGGGTCATAAATAAGGCTTTAAAACATATCTAGAACATAAATCATGAAATATACCATGGCAATGCTCATCAAGCTTTAAACTCAACTCATATGTTATCTTGCATTTGTAATGACTCACCAAAGATTATAAAAGAGTTGTAAGTGTGGTTACCTTGAATGTTTTATTACTAGAAGCCCTCACCTTAACCAAGGGATAATGTTTCCTTTCCTCTTGTTCTAGAGCTCTCTCCCACTTTTTTTTTTCTAATCAAGACGAGAAAAATGGATTACTAAATTAACTAGGGGATTGGATTGCAAGGGAAACACTTCTTAGAACTTGAATCTATCCACAAACCACCTAGAATCCATATATTCTCTTAAACCTCTCAAAAACCCATTTTGAAAACTATGGTTAAAAACAAAATGGAGATTAAATTGAAGCTTGAAGGATGGTGATTCACACTCTTACCTTGGCTTAACCAAACTAGAATTGAAATGCTTGGAACTCTTATTTTTTGAAGGGAATAGAAAGAGAAAATAATGGAAAGAGGAAGAAGAAGGTTTGGTAGGATATTTGGGAAGTAGTTCACATACATAAAATAGGGAGAAAGTTTTTAGCTTTAAACAAAAATGGGAGATTTGCACCTTAAGCCCCTCTACTTCCATTTCATAATAGCCCAACAACCTTTAAAAATTCTCTCGGGGCCCAATTCAAGCCCAAATGCTATTAAACTTGATCCAAGCTATTTTAATAGGTCATTTGGTTCAAATTATGGGTCTCGGGTCGACCCGATTCGAGGCGTTACAGAATTGATTTAATCATAATTACCTCTAATTTAAGCCGAGGATATGTATTAATAAAAAAGCCGATGATATGTATAATTTAGGTATTTTAACTTTTTTTTATTAATATGAGGTAAGTACAATGTAGTATCTGTTCAAAGATAACTCTCAACTTTTCAACATTGAACACTCACACCCCTGCCATTTATGGTGCTCGAACCCAGGTCCTCAAGGAACAACAACAATTCATTTACTACAGAGGCCACTTGGTTCATGCTAGGTATTATAACTTGTATAAATATTATTCAATTTTTATATCAATTATGAAATTAATCTAGTTGAATTGAATAAAATCATAAGAATAAAAAATTTGCTCTAAATTAAAATAATATTAATATAAAAATTAGAACACAATTATTTATGTATTTATAACCTTACCGGACCCTCTTTATTTCCCACCTAATTTTTTAATTATCAATTCAAGTGGCTTAGTAAAAAAATAAATAAAGAAATTAAGATCCTAACATTTATATGTATCACTAGTAACAGCACACTAATACATTAGAAACCGAGCTTTCCTTTTCTTTTTCTATAGAAATAATTTGTCTATTATTCCTAATTACATTTAACTTCAAAATGGAATTGACCAATTATCAACAATAATATATAAAAATGTCTCAAACTTTTATATAACGTAAAACACTAATATATTAAAGTTTACATAAATATATAATGTTTTAAATATATTTCATAATAAAAAAATAATTCATACACCAATTTATGTCTCTCGAAGGTACAAATTATCTTTTTATACATATGATTGTACAAGAGTTAACACTATGAAAATATCATTTTAACCGAGATAATTAACATATGTTGTAATTTTTAAAATTGTTCCGTTAAAAATGTCTTATTAGAAAAGTTAATAGACAACAACACTTATATTTTCTTTTTTACTCCTACATGTCTCAATTTTTTATAACTATCAAGATAAATCTGTCAAATATATCAATTTTCTTTTAGGGATAATTTTATCGTTTCTCTTATTCAAATATATCTCCTAAAACCATGTTCATAACTAATGCTAAACACGAATTATGAGATGGATGGAGCAATTACAAGAGATTATCCTTTTAATTAAACACTTTAATTTTCGGTTTGTAAAGTCTGAGTTGTACCTTGTTGGCTAAAGTGTGATGATTTGTTTGGTGCCTTAACAAGCGTTTGTGGATCAAGTTCCCGTTTGATTGGGTTAAAGCTAATACGAATGGGACAATTCGTGGAAGTGATAGGCTTCTTCTTCTGGTAGTGTAACTGGGGACGTTATTGGTTCTTGGAAATATTTCTCACATAGTTTAGAACGATACTCGGTATTAATGATAGAACGATTCACAATATACTACAACATGCATGAAAATTAGGCTACAAGAAAATCGACTTGGAAACTAATAGTTCATATTTGTAGTATTTTTGAATTAATAACTATATCCATCTATTGACCGACTAATCCAGATCGAATACTGCAGAGGCCAGGTGACCCTCCTAACCTAATTAGCTCTACTCGTAAATGTCTAGATTTGAATCTCTTACCTTACTTAAGGAATCTATTGATTAACTTAAAAAATATGATAGTGAACACTCCTCAATTATACTCGTAAGACAATTTTTTTAGATTAAGTTAATGTGATTATAAAATAGTATATGTTTTAAATATTCTCAATTATTTGATAATGAATGATTAATCACACTGCTGCAGCAATTACTAATCCTCAAACCCATAACCTCTAAAAATAACATTAATTTCTTTAAGTACTATAATAAGTTCATCCGTGAATTATAAGACAATTCACCATCACTTTTTGTATTAAAAAGATAATTCAATTCTCAATATAAATATTATATGGAAGAGATTACGATGGTAGTATATTTTTAACCGAATAAATAAAGCTGAGGGAGCAAACAGCCAAACTTTTTCCAAATCCCACCCTCTGTTTTATTTGTTTACAATTTATTCCCTTCCTTTTTCCCTCCCAGCTTCAGTACCCCACCACCATTATCACTTCCCCTCAAGCTCTTTTATTCCATCAACCCAAACCCCAAACCCAGGCACGCCCCCACATTCCCCTTCCCCTTCATCAATGTCCCTAAATCCCCCCCTTTTCTTCCTCTTTTTCACCCTTATTTTCCCTGTTTCCTTCACCATTTCCAACCCAAACACTCCAAGCATCCAACCCCTTCCTTTATCATCATCATCATCATCGCCGCCGGCAACGATCCCTGCGTTTCCGGAACAATCCAATGTCGTCGGTTGTCCGCTGGACTTACCGGAGGAACTGTTCCACAGCATAAAAAACGCTTGCGGCACCAAGAAAAACGATGGGGTCACGGGGCAGCTCCACCGCAGCCGCTGCTGCCCTGTGCTCGCGGCTTGGCTTTACGCCGCTTACTCCTCCACCGCACTCGGCAGGGCGGAGAGAGTAGCACCGGCGGCGGTATTGGGGCGTACTCCGTCGTATGACATGCCGTTGCTGCCGGATGACTCGGGGACGTGCGTGGACGATTTAGGGAAAGCTCTGAAACAGAGGGGGGTTGAGTTGGTTAAACCGAACGAGACGTGCGATGCGGTGTACTGCTACTGTGGCATCAGGCTTCACCCGTTCACCTGCCCCGATGCTTTCTCGGTTGACCAAAAGGGTCACCTCGTTGGGGATTACAATGTGGAGAGATTGGAAAGAAATTGCATAAGTAGCAGCAGCAATGTTAATGGATTTCCTGGTCTTGGAGGATGCAACAAGTGCTTGAAAACTCTCCATTTGGTAACTTCTTCACCTCTTATTCCCAACTTGTTTCTTTTGTATTCTTGTTTTACATAAATTTTCAGATCTAGTTGGGGCTTCTTTTTTCTTGCCAATTGGGAAAGTGAACTTTCCTTTAGCCTAAAAGTGAATATTAGGAACCAAAAGCAATTTGATAGTGGGTAAATAGAAAATTATCAGGATCAAGTATCGGGAAGAAGCCTTGAAGAACCGGGAGGACAACAACAAAAATAGTGAATATGAGAACTTTGCAAGGGAAATGTTGTTATGGTGTGTGTATTGTTGATAGATTAATAAATTTTTTGAGCAGATGTAAGCTTATAATCATTTTAGATTATTCGAAAGATTGATTATTTGGTAGCAGATTAATAGTCCTTTCTTATGTTTGAAGTATACACCAAACTCGTGTTTGATGAGCAGCTAGCCAATTGTTACTATTCTTGTTCTAACGGAAAAACAATGTTGGTGCAGCTCAACAAGAAGACTACTTTGAATTCAAGCAAGGCAGAGGAGAGGACCACCAAAATGCGCAATAAAGATTGCCAGCTGATGGGTCTCACGTGGCTCCTCGCAAAGAACCGAACTGCATACATCCGAACGGTTTCCGCCGTTCTCCGAGCGCTGATGATTAGCAAAGACGGTTCAAGCCCTTCTTCCTGCACTCTGAACAGCGACGGCATGCCGCTTCCGGTCGATTCTTCCGAAATATTCGAACAATCCTCGTCGGTTACCCTCAACCTATCCCGTCGTCTGGCCGTTTTATCGCTTTGCTTTTTGCTTATCTACCTTCTTGCATTGTCACACACGTCTAGCTGAAGCATTTGTATGGCTTCCTGTTGTTGATGTAAAATTGTGTACTTGAGTTAGATCTGTGAAATTGATGGGATTTTCCAGTGATATCTAAGGATTTTGAGTTCCAAAAGTGGGCCTGCTGAACATGTGCTCGACTCAGAGCTGCCTTGTCCTGTAAGGACAAAATTTGAGCAAAAATGGTCGCCAACTTGATGGCATGGTCGGGGATGATTCTAAAACACAATAATGCAGTTCACGAGAGATTCATGAATTGTCTCATCTCCCAACATAGATCGAGATTAGGATGCCCTCCACAATTCTGTTGGGTAAAATTAAATGTTTAATATCTAAACTATTATTTTTGTAATGTTTTGACACTCGAACGTTATTTTTTTGTTTAAAATCATACCTAACGTTCAATTTAAATTTTAATTTGGCACTTTATGTTAAAAAGTTGACAGTGATGTTGATATGTTATTATTAGATAATGTCATATTATCATTGAGAAAAATAAAAAAAATATTCATAAAAAATAAAAATATGAAGCTTCAACATAAATCGGCATCCCTAAACCTTGATCCAAAATAAGATTCAAACTTAAAATCTTTAATATCAATCTTTAAACTAAATTAATCATGATATTAAAGTTATAAAACTTTAAAGAACGAACCAATTTAGGAATAAAAATAATAATCGATTCTAAATGATTAATCATTACACGGTGTTGATGCCACATGATAAAACCAAATCATAATAAATATAAAATAAAAATTCAAGATCTAATCATGTCAAATTATCAAGAACAACATATAATATTGGATTTACGGAAGCATACATGAATCTGTTGATGGAGATCACCTTGGAGTGGTTATTATCTTTTAAAAATATATGTTTTCTCTTATTGTAAAAACTCTCTCGATAATACGATAATACGAGTATTAAAAGTTAACCTATTTTTTGGGACCACTATCTTTTTATATAAATTAAATATTAAATCAGATTATAAGTATGTATAATTCTATCCCTTATCAATTTATAAATATAATTTAACGTATCTACATTTTTATTTTCATGAAATTTTTATACTTATAACATATGTCACGTATTTGGTCACTTAAATTTGTGTCATACTTTATAATAGCATCATACATTGTGCATATTTGTCCACAGTTGCGAATTTTAATCCAACACCAAAGCCAAAGTAAGAAAGCCATCAAGTAAATGAAGACAAACAGAAAACACTATTCTCCTGAGAGCCAAACCAAATAAGAAAGAAAAAGAAATCGTAGGAAAGTAAAATTTCAGCAAAAAATTTCAATGTCCTCACCATGTCCACCCTTCTTTTATCCATTTTCTGAACGACAATCTACCATTTTATTCTCAACAAGTTACACTCCGCTCTCAACATCTCAACTTGGAGTTGGAACCACCATTTCTCTTCTTCAATAAAGGCTACGCTGCTGTCGTTTTATCTCTCCTCCTCCTCTCGTTATCACTCTCCCCCGAAGTCACCGGCACCACCAAAACAATCTCCCTTATGAAGGCTCTCATTGATCAAACAAGCGCTCCAGAAGCATCCCCGTTCTTTCTATAAACCGGAAAGTTATATTCAATTAAGAAACCCATGTAACATTAGACTTAATAACTTGAATTCTTACCATGTGCATATTTTTATAGTGGACAAGATCAGATTTTCGGTTTGAACTGAAAAATACTATGTTGTACATACTAAATGTAAATCAGACAACTTTTCAGGTTAAAACATAAAAAAGATATCATCAGTGGTAAGTTTTATTCAATTGAGAACCTTATGTAACATTATAAGTTGTCACTGAAAATATTGCTATGTATGTACCTTTTTAGAGCGGATATGGTAACATTTTAGGTTGATAAATGGAAAATCAACTTTCCTTATTTCTCATTTGTTTTCTTTTTCTTTTTTCATTCAATGATTATTGTTCTATCCTTTTTACCTAAAATCTCATCTAATGACTCAAACTCAACCATTTTTTAGCGTTATTTTTACATGTTTTACTTTAGATTTTCCAATAGTATAAACGAAGTATGAAAACTCTAAAAATTACAAAGGAAACATACAAAATCCTAAAATGAAAAGAAAAGGGGTTTTTAGAAAACTAAAATATAATGGTTAACTCATAAATTCTGAATGTCCATTAGAATGTTTTTCGATCTCATCGTCTTTGGAGTATTCTTATTTTAGACTTTTCTTGTGTAACTCGTAATCATATTGATATATTTTTCCATTCTTTAAAATTTGAACACACTTTTCTGTTTCTCCCAGATTATCTTGGATATGAGAGCTTTAATCATCATCATGTTGATAGTTTCATGGTTCGTAGGAGTTAATTCTCATTTCATGTACGTGGGATATGGGATGAGATAGGTTTGGATGGTTTTTTATGGAAAAATCACACCTATAATACCCACCTAAGCCAAGGTCCCTAAGCACCACAATCAAATCATCCAAAGCATTTTTCTTATTCAGAGAGTGGGAAAGCAATCCACCATCTAGTGAGGTTTTAAGTGCTTAGAAGATCTTTGACAATTCTAATTTTTGTGTCGCTAAATTCGAAGTGTTAGATGGTGGTTCGTAGTGGTTCATGGTGGTCGAGGGTGGTACGATGTATTTGACGATGGTGCAATCAAATCTCGGATTTCGACCTACTGTGTAGGCAATGGCTGGAGGTATTTATAAACAATCTTTGTTTCCGCTGCATTAATGCTCGATGTATGATTTACAATTGGTGTCATGAGCATGATTAAATCTCTACTTTATCGTTTTAAAGTTTTGAAATTCTCAAAATATGATGCTATGTTTATTTTGATTTTAAGATTTTGAGATTTTGTGTTGTAAATTTTGTTGCTAAAATCGTTGGATTTTATTAAAAAATATTTCTAAAGTAAATTATGTTTGAAATATTTTTATAAAAATTTTAGAAATATAAAATGATTTTTATATGCCTAAATTATGATTAAGTGTACGTGAATTATATGGTTATTAGTTACATGCATTTTAGGTACATAAAACTTTAGTATGGTTGCATAAAACATTTAGCAATAGAACTTTAGAATATATGTCTAGAGATCTAAATAATTTTATTTAATTAGAGAATTAGTCATAACAACTTTAGTTAAATAAAATTATTTATTACAATATTGATCTCATTAAGACTATAGACATAAGACGTTGCATGATGAATTAGCAACAATTTTGAATAAAATTTGGGATTAATATTTAGCTAAATGATTTTCATAATTTTATTTAGTTAAAGACTAGCCACAACATCTTTAGTTAAATAAAATTACTAAAGTTAAAAATCACATACATAAAGCTTAAGCATTAAATCCTATTACATAATTTACTAAGGTAAAACTATTAGATGCCTTTACATAGTTACCCACAGGAATTATGAAAGCGAATTTAATAATTTTATCAAAGTGATAGAAAATAATTCTATCATAAGATGGATCTAATTGAATTAAAAATTTAGCAAACTTGCAATTTTTATGTCACTAGATTAATTTTTTACATAATTTGCATTGGTAAATTATGATCTATGTTTGTCTCAAATATTTGATTAAGCATTTATGTTCATTATTTCTTGTAGTTTTACAACCTGTGAATATGTTTGATATTCGAGTAGATATCCTTGAATTAATCGGTAAGAACTTTATGATATGGAAGGACAATATTATTCTTTAATTCGGGTGTTTAGCTATTGATTATGCTATAAGGAAATCTAAGCCACATATCACTGAAACCATCACTCAAGTTGATCTTGTTCTATATGAAAAGTGGGAGCGATCTAATCGTCTCAACATTATGTTCATTAGAAGCAAGGTTCCTATTAATGTTCGTGGCTCAAATGAGCATTATGATAATGTACAAGAACTATTAATGGCAATTGAAAGACAGTTCAAAACTTCTAAAAAATCCTTGGCTAGCACCTTAATCATGAGGTTTACATCCATGAGGCTCACTAATGTAAAAGGCGTACGTGATCACATCAATAAGATGCGACATTTAGCAACTCGACTTAGAGCATTAGAGGTTGAAATGACAGATTCTTTCCTGGTGCACTTCATACTAAACACTCTTCCACCTCAATATACGCCATTTAAGATTTCTTATAAGACACATATGGATAAATGGTCTATCGATGAACTTTTGACCATGTGTGGTCAAGAGGAAGCTAGACTCATACCAGAGATGAGAGAGAGTGCACTGACAGTTTCTCAAGGAAAGAGATCAGTCCAAGCTAAGGCAAAGGGGAAAGTTAAAATCCAACCTCAAGCTTACATTAAGAAATAGTTCAATTGTTTCTTTTGTAAAAAGAAGAGACACATATAGAAAGACTGTGTCAAGTTTAATAACTGGCTTGAGAAGAAAGTTAAATCGATCTCACTCGTTTGCTTTGAGTCGAATTTGGTTGATGTTGATTATAACACATGGTGAATTAATTTTGGTTCTACAATCCATGTCTCAAATTCCGTATAAGGATTAAGAAACCTGAGGGAACAAGTAGAAGAAATTGATACATTTATTAGGAAATAAGATGCAATGACATGTGGAAGCCATTGGGACCTGCGAATCAGTGCTTAATAGTGACTTTATTTTAATTTTAGAAAAGACTTTTTATATTCCAAGTTTTTCTAGAAATTTAAATTTTGTTTCAAGACTTGCACCATTGGGGTATTGTTTTAATTTTTCAAACAATGAATTTAGTTTGTTCTATAAACCAGAAATTGTTGGAAATTGAATTTCATCCAATGTTCTTTACTCTTTAAATTTGTAAAATAATGACACTCATAATGTTATGCATATTCAATCTAGTTTTAAACATGTTATAAATAAAGATTCCTCTATTTTGTGGCACTAGAGATTGTGACACATCTCTATTGAAAGGATAAAGATATTAGTAAATGATGGGGGTACTTAATACCTTAGATTGTTCTAATTTCGACCTTGCATAGACTGCATTAAGAGTAAGTTAACTAACAATTCAAAGAAAAGTGCCAAGAGGAGTTCAACCATATTGGAAATCATCCATTTTAATATATATTACCCAGATACGGATATACAAGGTCAGAAATACTTTATCACTTTTATTGATGAATACTCATGATACATGTATCTCCACATGCTTCATCATAAAGAGCAAATCATTAAAAGCCTTTAAGGTTTTCAATTCTGAAGTAGAGAAACAATGCAATAAGAAAATTAAGATCATGAAAACTTATAGAGGTGGTGAGTATTATGATAGATATACCGAAGATGGACAAAAACCTAGTCCATTTACAAAGTTTCTTCAAGATAACAATATAGTTTCCCAATACACCATGCTAGGATCACCTGATCAAAATGATGTTGCAAAAAGAATAAATCAAACTTTAATAGACATGGTGTGAAGTATGCTTTGTACCTCTAAGCTACCTAAGACATTGCCGGTTGAAGCTATAACACCCCTAAAACTAGGTTAGTAGTTTCGGGTATAATGGTTGTGCTTAGAGTGCTTAAATAAGGTTAATTTAAATGATTGGGTCAAGTATGAAGAGAATTGGGCTTGAGGTAAGGCTCACAATGTGTTGAGAATGGGTATTTTTAAATCGGGATCAAAACATAGAGGACCAAGGGGATAATTTAATCATTGTTTGAATCAAAAGCTGACCCCCCTTAATTGTGCATATGTCACATGTTAGCAAGAGGTCTCTTCCTTTTGTCTCATTCTTCTTTTTCCTCCCAAAACTCCCAAATGTGAAAACTTTATTATTACACATTCCTAGAACGAATTTGTGAAGATAAGAAAGGTAATCTCCTCTCATAGAGCTTCATTTCTAGCCTAAAATATCAAGGTTTGGCCATGATGACCAAAATGAGAGTTTTAGAGGGATTTTGCTTTTAGGGATTATAAGTGTTCCTATTTCATTCGCAAGTTTTTAGAATCATATTTCTACTCACTTAGAGTCTTTAAATACTTTAGTAACCATCTCTTTTTCTTGTGGTCAGTGAGTGAGTTGGGGGACAGCTCAAAGGCCAAAAACAATGAGAAGTTGGTACTTAGGTGATCTTGGGAACCCTTTCTATCAGTTGGTGCTGAGGTATGGCATAACTAACTCCCCTATATCGTATATAGACCATTAGGTTATGTTATGCTTGCTTGTTGTTTTTATAAGTGCAAATATGAGACATTATGATTTTTGAGGAAAATGAGTTATTTGATGTTCGTGTTATTTTTGAATGACTTAAAATAATGCTTTAAACTCCCATAAAGCTTAATAAACGTTCAAAAGCCTTAGAGGGTCTTGTGAGGGGTGTTTGGGAACCATTTTTGTGGCTAAACAAGTCATTTCTTGGTAGAGGTCTAGGTACTGGATGAGCAGTACTGGTATTATTCTTCGTATAGCCATAAAAGAAGAAGTTTTGGGCTAGTAGTATCGATACTCATTCATTGAGTATCAGTATTTCATGTGAGTATCGATACTGCCAAGAGAGTATCGATAATGTGCACACTTTACAGAATCTAGTAGCCAATTTTGGTATTAGTACTCATGGGAGTATCGATACCAGGGGTAGAGCATCGATACTAGGAATAATTTTGAAACATCAAAGCCATTTTTGGTATCGGTACTCGAGGCAGTAACGATACCTCCAAGCGAGAGTATCGATACTCTCGATAAGAGTATCAATATCGATTAATTCTTCTAAACATTGAAGCTGATTTTGGTATCACTACTCGGGGCCCAGTATAGGTACCCTCGTCTTGGTTTGGGTAGAAAACTCAACGGGTCTTAAGTACTTGGAAATGTGGTTAAAGAGGCACTGAAACTTCTCTAATAAGACTACAAGCGAGAACATTAATAATGATTATAGTAACAAGAACGACATATTAATATGGCATAAGACTAGCCTTTTCTTGATGCTCGAGAAATGACGAGGACACACGAGTCAGTTGAGTATATGTATGTTCGATTTATATTGAGAATAAAGATATCCAAATTTTCTCTAATTAGTACTAAGACACTTTTTTATCAGTGCAATCACAATTCCATACAGTGTTGAGGCACTTTTTCCGTTATGAGATGACAAGGCCATGTTTCGAGTATGTACTCTGTTGAGTTAATCGATCGACAGAATCGACCAAGAGGAGGGTGAATTGGCAATAAAAAATTTGGTAGAAACTTTTGCAGAAAATGAAAAATATTTACGCAGAGATTTAGAGTGGTTTGACTTTCTCAATCAAATTCTATGTCCACTACCTTAGCTATCCACACTAAGGATTTTCCATAAATTCACTAATTTGTCTTTCTTTTGAGGACAAAGAGTAACCTTACAAATCCCTCAAGAATTATACCCCAAATTCTTGAGAACACTCTCTCCCAAAGAGAACAATACAAATTTTGCAAACTTACAAGAAAATCCTCACAAGGAAAGATGTTTGCACAATTATAGAACAAAGAAATAACACTTAAGAATAATACAATTGAGCATAATAAGTGTTCTTGAAAGCAAAAATGAATATTGAATGGAATAGGCTTGAAAATGCTCAAACTTGAGGTTTGATGCTTTCTCTTTGATTCTCTCTTGATTCTTGTTAATTGTTATTGATCAATGGCTTCTAAGCTTGTTTAAATACTCCTTGGATCATTTCTGAACATTGGGGGATCATCAGTGGAGTTAATAGAGCCGTTAGTGTGGGAAAATAATTAATAAAATAACTTGGAACATTGGGTGGGTATCGGTACCCCTGCATAAGGTATCGGTACACTACTGTGTAAATTTCAAATATTTCGACCGTTATAAGATGGGGGTATCGGTACCTCCTCGGTACCCTCTGAGCAATCTATTATTTCTCGGAGCCAAATCTTACATGGGGTATCGGTACCCTCCGAACAATCTGTTATTTCTCATAGTCAAATCTTACATGGGGGTATCGATACCCTCTTGTGGGGGTATCGATACCCTTTGGGCAATATGGTTTTTCAGTTTAAGATTTATTAAGAAAATATTTTTGGCTTGATTAAAGGCTCGAAATACTTTGTAAAATTGTTTAAAAGATTAAAACACACTTTTACACTTGAGTAAGGATTGAATTTGACATTTGAAAAACTTGGAGTAATATTTTGATATTCGAATAGTTTGATCGAATATATATTTGAAATGATTAGAAAATCTTGGAATCCAATAACATTTAATTTGTTATATCGAAACATCAAAATGTTTTAAATAATCTCCCCCTTTTTGATATAACAAATCATTTTAGTAATTTTAAGATTTTCTAATTGAAAAACATTTTTGAAATCAAGTTTTGAAAATTACTCCCCCTTATACTTTGAAAATAAATTACTTACTTATTTACTCCCCCTTACTCTTAACACTTCTCCCCTTTTTGTTAAATCAAAAAGATTCTAAAACGTTTTTAATAAAGGGTTTTGGAAGTGAAGTCAATTGATAGAATAATAAAGCGTAAGCTGCTAAGATCACAATCAAGATAAATGTTAGCCATTAATTTCATAATTCAATATTCATAAACGAATGTGAAATGACAAAATTGGTCATATATCTAAAATGATGTAAATGATGCATAAACTTAAACTAAACCAAATAAATATAAGTATTTAAAAGTTAAACATTCAACACCCACAACAAATTCAAACAGTCAATCCAAACACATCAAAATGTTTATTTATTCAAGGTTCTAAATCTAAAGAAAAAATCAAAACTAGGCAAGGTCTACTCCATTAGCGGATCAGGAGGAGATAGATGTGTCCATATATTGGCCACATCTCGTGTAAGAGCATTGAGTCTATCGTCTATAACATTGAATCGATTATCCATTGCTTCACGATTAGCCCGAATATCTTGTTGATTCTCTAATTGTTGACCACATAAATGAGACTCCATGGATGTTAACCGTGAATCCATTGATGCATACCGAAAGTCGATTGTCTCCATAAAAGATAAAAAATATAGAGGCGTTTGATCCTCTTGTTGTGGTTGTTCCTCGTGTTTCTCCAGCTCATTATCGAGAACTTCGTTAATGTCTTACATCAGCTGTTGAAGTTTGGGATCATCGTCCACTCCCGTTGCCGGTAGAGCTCTTGAAGAACTAGCTCCCGGTGTATGCTCAACAGATCGAACCCATTGTTCGGTTTGCTTATCCTTCATCCATCCTGATTTTGTTAAGGAAATGAGGTTAATTTGATTTTTGAGAGGGATTGCGGCATCAAGGCTTACCCTAAGCTCGACTTTGGCAAACATATTACTTAGAATACAACCGTAAACTAGAGATGAACATAGTTTCTTATTAGGAG